TTTTTTTGGCAACATAAGATTGTTACAGTTTACCAGGAAGCAGTGCAGGCAGACAGCAAGGTCCTCTTTTCATTTTCACTTAAAAAATAAATCAGTAAAATCCTGGGCAACTAGAAAAGACTGCTAAAGATCTACCTATCTAACTTCTCTCTTTTTGTTTGTTTGTAAACATGGCAATTAATAGAGCTCTTAAAGAGCTGATAACCTGGACCACAGTAGACTGGAAAAAAAATATTTTTTTTTGTTTTGTCTTTCTGAAGTAAACATAGTGCAGTAATAAAACATATGCAAGACCTAAAACCAATTGGATGGCTGAATCTCTTACCTCAAGAAACACAGCAGTATCGCTGTTGGGGACCTGTAAGGTTAAAAAACAATAGAAGAGGAAAGCAGTCTAAATGGAACCATTAGAACAGACCTCAGTGTACATAGTAAAGCCAATAAACGACATTAAAAAGAGAAAAGGTGATGGGGAAAAACATTCGGGACCACTTGTCAATGGAATTCACATCAGTCAAGTCGGGGATTTTGACTTTGAGCTGGGAGGCGCGCCTGCGGATGCGCCCCTTGCTGGGCACCCCGTGCCGGTCCAGGGCGCGCCCGTAGGCTTCGCGGCTGCTCAGGGGCTTGCGGTACTGGATGCTGGCGCTGTCGTAGGAGTACATGGTGGCCTTGGGGTCGCTTACGCTCGTGAGCACTTCAGAGCCACCTGTCTCATTCCGGATTTCCAGCGTGCTGAGGAGAATGTTGCCGTGGGCGTCGACCTGATGGTAAAAAATCAGGCTCAGACACAAGTCTCAGGATCTTTGCCTGTTTTCATTAACCTGTCACTAATGATGCTCATAAGGCTCATTAAACATTGTCTCCCTAAACATTAGGCTTGATATGCCTCCCGGACATGGAGATTATCTATCTATCTATCTCTCCATCCATCCAGCTGGCTTTCTCTCTATCTATTCATCATCCATCCATGCATGCATTTATCCATCCTCCATTCATCCATCCATCCATCCATCCATCCATCCATCCATGCATCTATATCTATCTATCTATCCATCATCCATCCATGCATGCATCTATCCATCATCCATCCATCCATCCATGCATGCATGCATTTATCCATCCATGTATGTGTGTATCCATCCATCCATCCATCCATCCATCCATCCATCCGTCCATCCGTCCATCCGTCCATCCGTCCATCCGTCCATCCATCTGACCATGCAGCTATCTAATCTATCTGTTTATCTATCTATCTATCTATCTATCTTTCCATCATCCATCCATGCATCTATCTATCCATCATCTATGTATCCATCCATACATGCATTTAGCCATCCATCCATCTATGTATCTATGTATATCTATCTGTCCACTCATGTATGCATCTATCTATCATCCATCCATCCATCCATCTTGCTAGCTTTCTAGCTATCATCTCTATCATCTATCTCCACTCATGTGTGTGTGTGCGTGTGGGGGGGTATTTCTTCTTGTTATAAAAGTGGTACATGGAAACAAAGCTAGAAACACAAAATAAAAAAATAAAAATTCATAATCTTACCTTCGGAGTCTATCATTAACATCTCACTTGCCTTCCAGTCTTTTTTATGTTCATGTATACTTATAAACACAGATTCATTCATATATTTTGCCTTATCATCTGCTTTTCTCAGTAATACAGCCTGGGCATCTTTTCTTGTTAATAAGTATTCCTCTGTGACACGATTTATTAATAGCTTACATGAATAAACCATAATTGAATTAATCTATTGTTAGATGTTAAGGTTTGTTTTACTTTTGTAGTATTATTAAAAAAAAAAGCCGAGAAGCAATATTTTATAGTTAAATCTTTGTGGCTTATTCATAATTATGTCCTCAGGCAAAACTAGCATATATGATTAATGGGTCAAAGGATTCGCCTGGCTATCCTTTGACTTTTGTTCCTCTACTGATGTTCACTGATACTTCCTGCAGTTCCAGCAATTCCTATCCCAGGTTTCCTGGTTCTTCTCTATGCTATGCCCACACATACCCTTTTGGAACTACAAAAAATGTGAACGCAAATTCGCTTAGAATGTGGCCTTGTTTAACTTCAAGCTGATATACTTTGCAAACTGATTTACCTGGAAAGGATATGGCTTATACATGAGAATGAACTTTAAGTACTTCCAAGGCCAGTACAGGAAGCTGTGCTAACACTTGTATTAGCATAGTGGCTGACTTATAGTAAGGGTTCTAAATGCTTTTGAATGAGATTAATCTTAGTAAACACTTAACACACTAGGTATAGGTAAGGAGGCAAAAGAGCCTGGTGAAGAAGAGATAGAGAAAAACATAGGAATCAAATACAAACAAGAGGGAAAGAAAAGAAAGGGACAGAGGATAGATAGCATGTGATGGTGCAACCATAGTAGAGTTTAGAGAACTACAATTTATTGAGTTTCCACCATGAGCCTAGCATAATATTACTTAACACAGCAACCCTATTCTAAAAGGCCATCCCATCCCCATTTTATGGATAAGGCAACTGAGATTTAGAACAGTTAAAAATCTGGTTCGTTTACTCAGCTAGTTAAGTGCCAGCCCTGATATTAGAACCTGTGTGTATCTGATTCAAAGCTCAAGCACTTTCTACTGAGAGGAACACGTCGCAGTCCTTGGCCTTTGTTACACCACACAGAAAGTTCAGTGATGCATTTGTTAGCTTTAAGGCTTGAGTTGGTCGGAGAGAGAACAATGGCAACTGACTCTGGCTTCTGTCATCTCTCTCTCCCTTTTTATCTATCATTGTTTCCCTCTGTGAAACACTGTGCTTCATTCTAATTGGGCTACACACATGCCCTGACTCTGTACATCTATTGGTGACTTAATTCAGGGAGTTATTATTATATTGTTGTTGTTGTTAATGACTACTATTTATTGAATTCTACTGTGTAATTTATCTCAGTAATTTCAGTATTTCAGTAATTGAATCTTACTGAGTAATTTACCTTAGTTATAACAACACTATGAAGTATATGTTATCCTAATTCAGCAGACAGGGAAACAGTGCTCAAAGAAGTTAAGTAAATTAAACCGATTAAACAATAAGTGCCAAATTTGGGATTAAAATAGAGAATATTCTTTGTCTCAAATATTATTTTCTTTCCTCTTTGTATGTTAATCAAATCAACCTGTTTTGGCCAAGGCTCAATTTAAATCCTACTTTCTTGTGTATCTTTGTACTTTGCTTGCCTATAGTCACCTCCAAAACTTTCTCCCAACATTTATTGAGTGCTTACTGTGTGACAGATAAAATGTTAGATGACAAGGATATATGCTTAGCAGAACTAGCATCCTTACCCTCAAAAACCCTTAGCCCTTACTTTTACAGAAGAATTTACAAACTCAGCCAGCCACCTACAGGGACCAAGAAGCATGGCTGAGTAGAGCCAGTGAAAGTAAGTAATTGAGTGAAGTTAGGGAGTGGTGATGTCTATGGGGATTCGGAGAGCAGATGTCTAAGGAGGAGACTGCAACTCAGCTCCATTTGACAACTACACTGAATGAACTAGACCTTACTGTTACCAGATCACCCCTTTTACCAGAAAACCTGAACATACTGATTTTTATTTGGTCCCTTTTTAAAGTTGGCTCAGTAGTGTAAAAATGATCTTCAGGTCAGATGAAACATATCTGTGTCCAGATCTGGCTTCTGCATAGCCAGTTAGGGATCTCTTTTTTTTTCATTCACATATCCTTTAGCATATATCACTTTGTGTTGATACTGATTTTTAGGTTTCAGTTCTATCTTTCCAACCAGAGCTATTGGGGTTCTCAGGGGATAGATAATGAGGGCCTGGACTAGGACAATGTAGCAGAAAGAAAAGGAAAACTATACTCAAGAGGAATTTTTGAAAAATGTTTAAAAGAGAAATGAAACTGATTTGGCCACAGAATGAGATTTGTAGCACAAGGAAGGGAAGGTGATCTGGAAACTGTCAGCCTGTTAGGCTGAAAGGATTTTATTGTCATCAGCAGAAATGGGGTGTTTAGTGTATGTTGCATGTATGGGGAACAAGGAGTTTGTTGTTTTGGTTGAATTTGTGATATACGTTAGGCATCCCTGTGGTGGTGTCCAGCAAGTAATGTATACGTGGTGATAACTGGGATAATGTTGGGGCCGAGATTATTTTAGGAGTGAGGGGTAGCTATGGGGTTGGTGAAGGAGACACAGAGAAGCTGCAGAGGTAGAGAACAAATAATAGAATGCTATGAAGAGAAATTCAAGAAGGGAGACAGGTATCCAGAAGGAGAGAATGGTCAGTAGTGTTTCAGAGAGAACAGGGTGAATGAAGAAGGCTCACAGAGTTATCAATAAGGCCATTTGTCGTCTTAGAATAAAAGCTGAAGCAGAACCTGCATTGCAAGGGATTAAAGACTGAATTGGTAGCAAGGAAGAGAAGGGAGTTTGTATGGACTCCCCTTTTCAAAAGTTTGCAGGTCAAAGGAAGAAAAGAAATACAAGCATTAGCTCACATATATCCTTAGAGATATAAGAGTGAAGCATAATATTGGCAGTGACAAATTTTCAATCAAATGCTAATGGTATAATATAGACCATGGTTAGGGATTCATCAAAATGAGAAATCACTGGGGGTTACAGAAGCCTTCATGTAGCAGTGGGGCTTGCATTGAGTTTTAAAGGATGGGTAGGACAGAACAAAAATTGAGAGTAGAAATCTATGTTATTATTCTAGTTTTATTACCTACTCAGAAATTGTCTTGGACAAGTCTGCATCTCAGTTCCTTTATCTATAAGTGGAAGATTTTCATTAGGTAATCTCAAGGATTGGCTTCCAATCTTTGACAGTTTTTTATTATGAAGAATATTCCAGGTGAAAGACACAGCATTCTAAAAAAAAAATGCTTGTAAAATGGAATCACCTGGTCTATACTGTATGCATCATTAAGTTATATTATTATGGATCTCTCTAAGTAAACAAAGTTGCTAGAATTTAGAATCAGCCAGTGAAGCATACAGATGCTTCTAATTAAACAGAAGTCAGGGTTAACAAGGTACATTTTATTGAGCTATTTTGGTTAGCCTTGGTGCAGATTCAAACGTGCCTAAAAATTGTATGAGGCTTATCAGTTTGTGCAAATACCTCAATATTCTCTGTCACTGAAAGCTAGAAATCATAGCTTTAAGTGGTTTGACATTTAAGATAATGGATCTAGTTCTGCAACTATCCATGAAAGCTGATTACATTAGTACAGAGTTTTACATCAACATTACCACGTTCTTTTTAAGGAAAAATTTTAAAGTAGTCGTATAACAATTCTTGCCCACTTCCATTTTCTTTCTTACCCAGAGTAGGATTTGTGCTAAAGGTTGATGTTAACAAACTCGTGTGTGTGTGTGTGTGTGTGTGTGTGTGTGTGTGTGTGTGTACATGCTCATGCATTTCTTCTGCAGTGTGATATTTTATCCCTCTCCCTCCAGCTTTGTGCTGTAAGGTAAGGTATACATGTGGGAGCCATACCACTGCTGACATCCACAAGTTTCTGGTTGGCTCTGCCATATTCCCTTCCCCTTGGAGAAGAGTGGCTTTCCCTGTGCCTCAATCATATCAGGGCATCAAAGGTATTCTTATATCTGAAGCTGACACAGCTTTCCAAAAATAATATCCATGGAGAAAGGGCTATTGTTTTCTCATATCAGCAGAGAAATCAAGAAGTCTCATGTTGTACACTTCAAAATCTGCAGTGGTCAAATTCT